CTACCTCTCAGCCCTCATCCCAGGTCTGGGCCACCTCTTCTGCCACATTGCACATTATTCCTGGTGGCCAGTTGGCATGTTTGAGGGGGTTTCAGGGCCATCTCCTGCTTTATGAATGTATGCCCAAATGCCCTCTGCCCCTTAGGCCAGGGCTGGGGTGCTGGGGCTGATTGATCCCACACTCTCCCCAGGCCCAGCTCGGGCTGGCACCCTGTGGGCGATGCGCCTGTGTGGAGAGTGTGACTAGAGGGCTGGAGGACAAGAGTGCCCCCACCCCCCCCACCCCCACACCCCGGTCAAGGGGAAACTTGCCACCATGAGAGCTCTTCGAGGAGGCCTGCTAAGCGCTGGGCTGCTAACCACCAGACAGATTGGCTACTTGAACCCGGCCAGCGCTTCCGTAGGAGGAGAGACCTGGTGATCTGCTCCCTGAGGATGCCGACAGCCACACAGCATTGGCCCGGGGACAGCGTTCAGAAGGGCAGGGAGAGGAGGAGGAGGCGTGGGAGGAGGAGGTAGGAGAAGCAATGCTACCTGGTGAGGACTATGACCCTCACGGTGAAACGAACATGCGTGAGCTGTTGGATGGAAAATGGATTTGCTCTGTACACCTCCGCCCACTCCACAGGCCAACGTCCTTTAAAAAAATGGTTAAGGCCTAGGAAACCCCTGGGGACAGTTCTACTGTGTCACATGGGGCTGCTAAGAGTTGAAACAAACTCAGTGGTTCACATCCACAGCATCAAAGGCAGCATGCGGGCAACGTCCCTGTTGCCCAAGAGTGTGAGCTGGAGGCCTAGGGCAGTGGGCGCAGTGTCGAGGCAAGGGAGCGGATCCCATGGGGGCTCCAGACTCCTCAAGGCACGAATCTCGGGCAAGTTACACTGGAATCGCCTGGCAGAGCTCCCTCCTGATAGCAAAGGCCTGACCAGGAGACTCGGAGGCTGGGGCTGGCCAGAAATGTCACACAACACCCCCAGGGCATTCTGAAGCAGAGTCGCATTGGGGGGGCTGCGGAACTTGGTGACCTGCCAAGCCTTTTGCAAGAGGCTTTGTGTGTGAAGGCCCCCTGCAGACGGTGAGGTGCTATCCACAAGTCTGGCCTCCAGGGGTGACCCCACCCCAAGATGGGGTGGGTGAAGACTCACACTGGTCTACAGCTCCTCAGACTCGGGGAGGTGCCGGGCCCAGCCCTGGGCCACTCTGTTGAAGCAGGGTCTTCTTCGGAGGAGCTCCAAGCCACTGATGAGCTCTGGGGCGAAGGGCGTGGTGGCCCTGGGAACAGTGTCCCCCACAAGGGGTCCTCCAAATGGCACGGGGGTCCTGGGGAAAGAAGAGCGGAAGAGAGGGTGGGCTGTGCAGGGAGAGCTGGTGTGGCAGTTCCCGTGGGCGCTCTTCCAGCAGGCCCCAGGGAGACGCTGGAGCTGCATGCACTGTGCCCTCTGGCTTCCATCTGGTGATTCTGGTGGAATTGAGGATGACCCAACCTTTGCCGTTTCCCTTTAGAAGTGACCAACTGACCCGCCTCTTGTGGGAGGACAGACCTTGCTAGCAATCCCTACAGTCAGGACATGAACATGCTTCTCTAAGCAAAGGACAGTCTTGAACCAGGTGGCCCAGCGCCAATCCGGCCGCATAAGCCGCTGCTGGCTCCAGAACGGGTCAGCCACAAACGTGTGAGATGGAAGAGCCAACCCTGTCCCTCACAACAATTTAAAAATTATTCGAAAGCCGTAATTGCATTTTTTTAAACCAATGAAATCGTCTTTCTCTAAATATTATCCTTTAAGTTTTTCCAATTTTCCTTTGGAGCCACACATCCGTACTGAAAGAGCACCCGTGGCTCGAGAGGCGCAGTTGGCCGACCAGGCCCCAGAAGATAGCCCTCCTGATCCCACGTGTTCTTGCTCACTGTGATTCTTTCCCGGAAGCCCGCTCTCCTCGCCTATGAAAACACCCCATCAGCTGTCACTCAGGGAGGCAGGACTTGTGGATAGGACCCACTCTGTCTCCTTGAATATAGATAGCCTATCAATAACTCCCACTCGCCCTTCTGCCCCCC